GTTACTGCCTGGTCAACCAGGGTTAGTGATGAGTCCAGCAGGACTTCAAGGCTTTGCACCACTGTAATAAATAGGGGGCAGATGCCTTTAGTGGGAGGGGAGGTCAGTGTCCTGACTCATGCCAGGAAACATTTTCCCCTCCCAACCAGCATCACTTTGGTCTTGCTTGAGTTGAGTTTTGAGCCAGCTGCTTTTTTTCCAGACACTGATCTCCTCTAGGCACTCTGACACCCTTGCAATGGTCTTGGCTGCATCTGCAGAAAATGAATTACACAGCTGGGTATCATGAGTGCATTGCTGGCAGTGGAACCCACAGCATCACACCACCTCTCCAGCCGCCGCTTGTAAATACTGCAAATGACTAGGCAGGATAATCCTCATGGGACTCTGCAGGGCAGGGCTTTTGGGGAAGAACTGCGGTTGCCCCCTCCCCCCACTCTCTGGGTCCTCTTGTAGTGTTGTGCTGACTACTCCAGCAGTAGGTGGTCAGCAGTACCTATAGTTCACTCCTCTAACCAGTGCCATGACTATAAAAGGAGAATGTTGAGTAGGACATTAACAATAGACTAGCTTGGGGGAGGAGGGAGGGGGAAGAGCCAAGCTGACCCTTGTGGAAAGGCCTGAACAAAGTTAATACACCTTTACAGCACTTGGTCTCTTGCACAGCAATGAACAGCACTAATCACAGGGCTGGGTACAATTATTATAATATGGGATTCAGGCCATAACCATAAAATAAGACTGACGTAAGGGCTGCAGTTACTACATGGGCATTTTTGTCACCCTCCAGAAATCATCCAAGAAAGGGTGTTTTCATCCCTCATTTCCCTCCCTAGCACATCTAATGGGATAGATTTCCCTGCAGGCTCATTGTTATTCTCTTGCCTCTCTCTTCATAATTATTTGGACAACGCCCCATAACTGAGTGCAAAGATATTTTCAAACTGGTTCAGTTGCCACTTGAGGAGGGGAAAGAGGTGAAAAATACAATCACTTTGTGGAAGGCTCATGAGTCATTAGCAGCCGGCAGCACAAAGTATAAAAAAAAAAAAAGCCCTAATTAGAGATTAGCTTTTCCCCTGCAAAGTTCAGTTATTTTTAAATTGGTCACATGCACTTTTCATGACAAACACCACGTTTGTTCTGCTTGTATACCCCAGATCTGTGCAAGGTGGGGTTGGTGGAGCTTGTTCCCATGGGCCCACAGCAAAAGCTTTGTGGGTAGAGTTCCTCACAGCTGCTTCTCTCAGATGTGAATTTCACATATAATCATTGTTTCCTTTGGTGGGCTGCTCTTGGAGGGGCCAGGTTAGCCAGGAAATCCATCCTTCTGGAGCCATGGTGCAGTCCTATGGGTATAGTGAGGACTAGGTCAAGGTTGCCACTCATACCACAGTAGTTAAGGTGGAACAAATTGCAACTGTTGCAGGGGTCAGTAACTAGGCCACAGACCTTTTGGTGTAAGGGAAGGAGAGATGAAAGGGGATAGGTGCAGTATTAGACCTTACTGAAGGGTGAGGGTAAAGACACCGTAGCCCCTAGATAACATTAAACATACCATGGAGTAAACAGGCAAGCTGAGGAAAGGGCCAAAACTAGGAGCAATCGGAAAATATAGTTTACTTCAGTCATAGTTTAGATCTAAGTAAATATGTGAAGAAGTTTAAGAGGAGGAACAGTGTGGGTGGAAGAAAATTGAAGTTTGGGAAATCCAGGATACACAGTATCCACATTTCCAGTCCAGAAGCCTTTTTGTTTATTTGTTAAGCAGCAGCAAGACACTCAGCATTGTACAAATCACAGAATACACACCCTAAGAACTGACCATGTGAATGAAATAGATACAGTAAACAGATATGTGGATAGAAAATTTGTGTCCGCATCCGATTAGCAATGTGCAAAAATGGTCCGCGGCTATCTACAGATTTGCAGGGCTCTACAAACCTGTTCTAGGAAGCCCATAGGAGACAGGGGCTAGTTTCCAGAGAGTGAGGTTTAAAATCCTTCTAGCCATTTCTAGAAGTTGGCAAAAAGTCATCCATCTTTAGGCAGAGCATTTTGAGCCTCTAAGAAAGGTTGCATTTTAAAGAGCAATCAGGCAGCCTACACAGTTAGAAAATACATCTGCCCAATAACTTAAAACATGGGTAACTTGTTTGTCACACAGCATTGTAACTCAGAAAATTAGCTTGTGCTTTCTTGCAAGGTTTGTAGCCCACCCCTTTGTTTTAACACAATAATATTGCAAGCTGCAGGCGGACAGGATGTATGGCTAGCCATTACAATGTATCATGTCAAAGATCTGCCAACTAATAGCTCTGACAAGATGCATAACAGCTCCTTCAGTGGCTTTAGGATGCATCATTAGGAGATGAATGGAATCTTGAGAGCAGAGGATGATTCAAGCAATCCTCCTGGCTCGCATACACAACACTCAGACTGCAGCTATTTTGGCAGCGTGCTTTGACATTCCCCTTCCCCTAAAGGTTCTGTGTCTGTCTGGGAATGTTTGTGTTTCTCATGCATAGGTGGATGCATGAGAGTTGTAAATTTGTCTGGGATTAAACACTATCTCCAGTAAATATTTATAAGGCTCTCATCACCACAGTATCTGACCACCAGCTTTGGATCCACCCACTTATAATTCTGACAGACATACACAGAGTATCAGCGTGGTAGCCGGGTTCGTCTGTATCAACAAAAAGAACGAGGAGTACTTGTGGCACCTTAGAGACTAACACATTTATTTGGGCATAAGCTTTCATGGGCTAAACCCACTTCATCAGATGCATGCAGTGGGAAATACAGTAGGAAGATTGTGTGTACACACACACACAGACAGAACATGAAAAAATAGGGGTTGCCATACCAACTCTAAAAAGACTAATCAATTAAGGTGGGCTATTATCAGCAGGAGAAAAAAAAACTTTTGTAGTGATAATCAGGATGGCCCATTTCAAACAGTTGACAAGAAGGTGTGAGTAACAGTAGAGGAAAAATTAGCATGGGGAAATAGTTTTTAGTTTGTATAATGACCCATCCACTCCCAGTCTAAACTCTGCTCTGCTAGGTGTGGGCTTTTTGCACCTGAGAGGCAGAACTTTTCTTCTCAAATTGTATCTTACATTTACTTGTTTTATAAATACAGACTAATAAAACTGCATCAAACAATTAAAGACCCAATATCTTTTTATTTTCCAATTGAGACTTATAAACAACAAGCCGGAGCTTGACACAAGGCATTTACTAGGAATGAATGACCAACAGAGGGTTAATGACCCTGGTCACATCCAGGCTATCAGTTCCCCAATTATGCTCAGGAAGTGTCCCCTTTATTAGCTTTGTCATCATTCAGGAAACAATAAGACTGTGCTTTGCTTCCAGGATACATCAAGTTTCAGGACTTCAGTTCAAAGCACCAGTGTGGTACCAAGCTACCTGCAATAAAAGGGGAAAGAACAGTCATGAAATTGGAAGTAATCTCTCCCTCCTCATTCCATTGCACTGACTTTATATTATTGTATATAACTTGCACCTCTTCTGAAGATCCCGTACAGCCCTGAAAGGTGAGTGGTGAAGCTTAAAATGTTTTTACTTACCATTTTTCAGATAGTGAAACTGAGGTACGGACTTGCCCATGATCACACAAGAATTCAGGAGTGCGGATATCCCCGATTGGCAGCAGATTAGATGGAACTCCCAGTCTCTTGCTTTAACCATTAGACTATACTCCTGCCCAAGACCTCAGTAGTAGAACCTAGGAGTCCTAACTCCCAGTCCTTCAGATGTAAGCTCATAGTGCCAGCACTAACCAATAGACCCCACACTCACTTCCATTTTAATGCTGTGACTGCTGGGGTTTTAGATTTAAAAAACTGACCAAACCCACCATGGCTAGAATACGAGATTCGTTTTTTTACAAGGGATGCTGGAAATGCCCCCAGGCTCCCATGTGATGGGGCTCAGGAGCCAATTTTAATAAAATGCAAAGGGAAAAGTTCAATAAAAAGCGATGATTATTTCGTTTAAAGATGACCCCGTAATCTCAATGCAGACACCCCCTCCTCCAAACACACACCAGGGCAAGCGCGTGGGGGAGGCAGAGGGGAAGGGAGAAAGCTGTGGGGGGGGGGGGGGAAATTACATCCTGCCCAGAGCCAGGCACTGCATCCTGCTGGTGTAATCCTCGCCCCACCGCTCCCCTCTAATCAGACAGTCACAATGGGGCCTTTCTCTCCCCAGCCTGCTCCCGGGCTCGGAGCCTCCGCAGAGCCAGGGGGGGTTGGCTCGGAAGCACGGTGCCCCTCCCCAGCCTGGAGGAGGAGATTAACCCCCTCCCCCATTTTAACCTGCCCCCCACAATACAGCCCTCCTCTGGCCCACACACCTCCCCTTCCTCAGGGGCAGCTCAGCTTCCTAGCCCCACACTCCCTACCCTCGGGGTCAGCCCCCTTCCTCCTCCAGGCATCTCCCCGAGGCCCACCCCCCGCCAGTCCCACCGACCTATTCCCCCTAGGCCGCCGCCACCGGCTCCTACCTGCCGCCGCGCTCCCTGGCAGCGGGCCGGGATGGGCAGCTCAGCCCGGGCCCCTCTCCGGTGCGCCCTGCGCGGGGTGGGGAGCGCACTCTGCGGAGCGTTCGCGGAGCCCCGGGCCGGGGCCGGGCAGCCGGGGAGGCGGAGTGAGGGGCCGGGGGCAGAGCCTCTCCACACCCCAGCGCGCTCGGCAGGCCCCGCCCGCTCCACACACGCCCGCCCGCCCGTCCGGGAGAAACTTTCCCCGGCTGCTTCCTTGGCGCCTTGTGCAGCCGGGCGCAGAGCGGACCCGGAGCAGAACAGCCCCGGGGGGACGGGGAGCCTGGGAAGGGGGAACGTGGGGCGCGGGGGGGTGTCCCGGGGCAGGTGAGGGGGGCCCGGAGCCCTGGGCGCAGGGGAGAGGCGGGAGCCTGGCTGCCAGGAATCCAGAGGCAGTGGGGGGCTGGGGCGCACGGGAGAGGCGGCTCCGGCGTGGGGCACGGGAGACTGGGAGGGGAGGCGCTTCACCCCCACCCCGGATGGGGAGCTCGCGTCCTGCGGTGGCTCCCCCGGGCGGAGCGTAGCCGAGGCGAGCTCTCCCCGTGAAGCGGGGCTTTCTGCGACCCGCCCTCCCCTGCCCGGAGATGTCCGGGAGGCGCTCGCAGGAGGCACCTGCGGAGGCTGAGGGCACCTGGCTCCCCGCCGGCGGACAGGAAAAAGGGGACGTGCCTTCCGCGCAGGGGCCCCCGAGGAAGAAGAAGCCCAAGTCTGGCTCCTCCGGCCTGCGCTGGGCTTTCAGCTGGCTTCGGGGCAAGAGGAAGAAGAAGAAGAGCAGCGGCTCCAACGCCCACCCTGGGGCGCCCCCGGCGGAGGGGGAGGCGCCGGCGCCCTCTAAGGGAAAGAAGCAGGAGGAGCGAGCCAAGAAGGGCAAAGGTAGGGCAGGGGCTGCCCCTGGAGCAGTGGGTGCCTGGGCGAGGGGCTGTTTGCTGGCTGGGTCTCTCCTCCCTCCCCTTCATGCCACCGAGACTTTCCCCTCTGCCCCCTGCGCTGGTGTGTGGCCAGCCTTGAGGAGCCCTAGCGAGGGGACTAGCTGCTCCTTGCCCTCGCTCTTGTTATGGCGCTTGCAGCAGGCCCATTCCGGTTCCCTGTAATCGGGAATGCCAGGCGCCCTGTGTAATCTCATTCCTCCCCTAAGGGATGTTGCCGGTTCACTGGGTATGTTCTCTCTCTGCTGAGTCAGAAGGTCACATAGACTGGAAGAAACCTGGAGCAAATCCAGATTCCTCCTCCTCAACATGGTGTTCTTGGGAGCTGCGCTGCTCCAGGTGTGGCCTCTTGCTGGCGGCCTGCGGCCTACTGCCAACATCCCCAGCCAGGCCGAGGTGCTGGCCTTGGTGACCTGGATGTAATTCCTCCCCACTACTTCAGGGTGGCGGTAGGGGCTGCTCTGCTGCTGGAGGCAGGCCTTCAAAGCCTGGATGTAAGATCATAGCTGAAAACGGCAAAGGCCTGTTAGATCAACAACTCCATCCTTCTGCAGGGCAGGATACGATCCCTCAGAGAGGGCACAGCTACCAAACCCATGCTATGCTCAGACCCTCCACTGCTCCTGTGTGTGATGTTATGTGGTGCCATGCTAGGAGGAGCTCAGCCCTTCATCCCAGGATTATACACCCTCTTCCAGCCCTCACGGCTAGGTGAGGCTGTGTTGCTGGAGGTGCTGTTCTTCTTAACATGGCCTTTCTCCATTTGCATATGGCCCGGTATACACGTAGTAAGAGCGAAGTACTGCTCGAGGTGTTGTTCTGCCAGTTCTGGGATGTGGTGTTAGAGACCCTATGTATGCTAGTGTCTCCGCCCACCTGTTAGGACATCAAAATGAAGTCTCTTCTGCCTAGTATCAGAGGGGTAGCTGTGTTAGTCTGAATCTGTAAAAAGCAACAGAGGGTCCTGTGGCATTACTTGCATCTGAAGAAGTGAGGTTCTTACCCACGAAAGCTTATGCTCCCAATACTTCTGTTAGTCGTAAAGGTGCCACAGGACCCTCTGTTGCTCTCTTCTGCCTGGCGTTTTGGAAAAGGGGATCCAGATTCCTGTGGTAATCCATCCAGAGGCGTGCCTCACACCATGATTCATTGTCCAGTATTACTGTCCTGGCTCCCTCTCTGGGCATTAATTAGTTTAATTTGCAGGTATCCATAATGTGGGGAGTTGCTGTTTTTATCAACACTCAGTTGCTCTTTTACTGGTCTGTCAGTTATTGTTTTCAAGAGCACACTGAGAGCTGTGCTAAGAGGCGACAGCCATGGAAATGCAAGTTGCTCTTTCAAAGAGATCTTTGGAAGGCGGCTGAGTTTTCACCTGACAGTCTCATAAGATGCTACCAGCACGTCCCGTCAGACATGTCTGGCTAGAGCTTTCCCCTAACGCTAGGTGCTCAGATTCCACGCTGATGGGCAAAGCATAAGAACCTGAATATAATAGTCCACCCAGTGTGATATTCCTCACTGCGGTGCCCCACCAATACTGGCATCAATTCCATACCTAATCTTCAAAACAGAGCCTATACAACCAGTCATTGCCAGAGCTGGGATCAGAACATAAGAGACCCTGGCTCTCATTCTACTAGACATGCACCTCTCTTATGGACACTGGCCGTGTGTTGTTAATGCCAACTAGGAGTCCAGCATTATGCTTCCAACATCACTGGCCAGCTCTTTGACAAGTGTAAACTGGATATCTGCTCCGTGCCCACTCAAACTGCTTTAAATGCCCCACTTCCCGAGACCCGTAAACTAGCTGCATGCCTTACTCTGCTCTGCTGTGAATATGAAACCATCTCCCTTTTGCGTGGGAGGCTGCAGGCCATGTATGTGTGTGCCATGGAGCATGTACACCAGGCTTAGAGTTCCTTGCCATGTTTCCGTAGTGCAGCCATTTCTTGGTGTGACGGGGAGAGAGGTGTGGTTTGGTAGAAACAACATGCATATGAAATTATTGCAGTTTGCGTGCCTGATTCAATCACTTTGTCTGTTCTAATAACATGCTCGCTTCCAAAATGCAAAACATGAAGGGACCACACCCTGTTTAACCCTTCCTATCCCAGCTGCTTTGCCATTTGCATTCGAATGATGTGGCCATGAAGGCAGCATGGACCAGGGGACTAAGCACTAGGCAACAAGCTAGGAAGCCCGGCTCCATTACTGACTTCTTATGTGACCTTGGGCAAGTCACGGTGTGTGTTTCAATGTCATAGTCCTCTGTAAAATGAGGGGGGTAAACACTTCCCTACGTCACTGAGGGGCTGCTGTGCAGATTCTTCAATAATGTTTGAGCAGCGCTTTGAAGATGGAAAGAGTGACAGCTATCAAAGTGCTAAGTTATTGATTAGTTTCTTATGTGCACTGGAGTCAGGTAACACTTGGCTGCCACTGCCTGAAATGCTGACTGGTATGGAGGCTAGGTCTGCCTTTAGCTGATGACAGGCGTGGACCTATCAGTAATATGTTTTGCCTGAGCCTGTGAATTTTCCAGTTATCAAGCAGGAGGCGACAGGCCAGGACTGTTGGAGGAACAGTCTGGAGTTAGGCAGGTCTGGGTTGGCCTCTAGGGCTCTGATTGTACAGGTTGCTGGTGGTGTCTGCTGATCTTTTTATATTTCTCTGGTTTTGGGAGGTACTTCAGGCCCTTCCAAAGATCAGCCTGGAATCCTGGGAAGTACCATGTCCTGCAGCAGAGATGCAACCCAGGGTTGGGAATCTTCATCTTTGCATTGCATGCCCTTGCCCATTATGAAGACTTAGATTTGGTTATGGAAGGGGTGGCTGGGATGCATGTGGAAACATTTCCTCCTGTGTCCAGGCTGGGATAAGAGCCCTTCTCCCCTGGGGAGGGGGTGCAGACATATGTTAGAAAACAGCAGGAGTGTACAGGGTCTGAAGAGTGAACAAATCATTCCAGTGAAGTCAAGGGAGGCATGGGTCAGGGCTGGGTCAGGATCCAGTTCCCCTGAGCTTTGGTCTCTGTTCAGGATTTGGGGGTAAACTAGGGCTGGGTGACTGAGCACTGAAATAACGTAGGAAGTCCCATAATGGAGAACTGAGTGATCCGTCTAGTTAAATATTCTGTCTCTGACTGGCCAGTACCAGCTGAGCTGCATCAGAGAAAGGTGAAATTAATTCTGCAGTAGGCAGTTCTGGGATCACCTACCCATGGGGAAACTTTCTTCCTCCCCCCCCCCCCCTCAAGGCTGAGGTGGCCTTGTGCCTCGAGGGGGGTGGGTATTAGATCCCTACCAAAAGTGTTTTTTTTTTTTTAATCCTCTCTTTTGTATCCCTGGATGTTCTAATTATCCATAAAAATGTCCAAACTTTAACCAAAAAAAAGAAAGAATCCTGCTAAGCTCTTGGCAGCTATGATACCTTGTTGCAAGGAGCTCACAAGCTAACTCTGTGTTGCATGAAAGATATTTCCTTCTGCTGGTTTGAAACTTGCAACCTTGTATGTTTGACTCCCTGGCTTGAGGTACCTTCTTCCCCTATTCTCCTCTGCTGCTGTTTTATTGCTTTACCAGCTCAGGCCTTGTGCTATGGGAGCCCCTCCCTGTCCCTACAAAGTACTATTACCCCTACTGTTACTTTTAAACAGCAAAATCTTCCATACAGCTGCTTGGCCAAGTTCCTCTCTTCTGTTTATTCAAAGAAATAAATCTTATCACTGAAATCTCTGTTGGCACCTGGAGAATGGAAGGGTACAGCGAGTCTAGTTAACCCGTAAGGGTTACTACAGTATTAGAAGGATACAATCTAGTTAAGGGGACTCCATCACCACGCTTCTGTCTGAAAATAATTTACCTACTGTTGTTACAAATAACTGAGATCACGGGAAATGAGACGAACCAATGATATTTCTTTTTATTCAGTTTGTTGATCCCATCTAATCTATCTATCTTAGGTACTTATATGGCCTCCGTTACTGTGGCGTATGAGCATTTCAGTCTTTAATGTGTTCATCTGCACAACACTGCTGTGTGGTAGGACAGTGCTGTTATCCTCAGTTTTGAGCTGGGGAGCTGAAGCATGGAGAAATGAAGTGACAGGATATCTATGATGAAGCAGGGAATTGCTCTCAAGTGCCACGCTAGTGTCCTAACCACTGAACCCTTTAGCATTTGACTGTACTTTGGGTGTAGTCAGAGTCACTGTTTCCTGTGGGTAGTCAGTTTCTCCAGGGGTTGTGTGGTGTTTTTCACTTGGGGACGAGAAAGAAGAAAAGCATTTAAAAAAAAAATTGTGATTGCAAATCCACCCCAATAGTTAAGGTGTCCCTTTAACCCTTTAGTACTGCTGTGAAAGTGCATGTGCACCAGCACCACATTTTAGGAGGACCATTTGACTAGAACGTCATTGAGGAATGATGTCCTAGTGCTTTTGGCCCATCTTTTGGGGGGTTGATATAGGTTTCACAATATTACTTCTGGAGAGTTTTAAGAATGAGGGAGTTGATGTTCCAAACATTTTCAGTTACTAATTTTTTTGTATTAATTTGGCCCAACAGCATATAGACTCCTCACTGTGTTGTTAAAAATAAAATACTAAATACACTCAATGAGAGAGAGCTTGTTGGAAATTACATATGATTTGGTTTGTTGTTTGCCATGGTGAGCCAATATAACCTAATTGTATTGGAGGATCCCTGGTGCAGGGTTGTGATATAGCAGAAGTGATGCTGTTATCCCTGTGCTGGAGATTCCTGGGTGCTAGACTACCATATATCAGTGAAGATGCAGTTGTGAGTTGTGCTGAAGGTTCCTAGGTGCTGCACTTTAACAGCACTATGTCAGGACTAAAAGTCCATGGATGCTGCTCGGTGATAATAGCTGAGATAGTGAAGTTGAGTCTGAATGCTGCAGGTTCCTAGATCCGTTGCTATAA